CATTTTCTACCAATAGTAATCAGTTAGTGATCGGCTCAGGTAGAAAACAACCAGAGGTAGAAAATATCCATGGGTGAGCTTATTCCATGCTTCTTGACACCCCTCCCCACCACACCCCCCCCCGACTGATTGTGGCGATATCAAATGTGACCAATAACGTGAACAGATATAGCCAAAAACATGAAACTGACCCCTTCTACACCACATTTCGATTTGTTATGCGCTTCGATACCTAACGGTGTCGTCACAATGGTGTTACAAAATGTGCAGAACATGAATCTGAAAACAAAAAAAAATAATGAGAAACAATGATTTGGTACACCCCCTCCCAAAGCTCTACTGGAGACGAACCAAAAAATAGTCAGTCAATAGACATAGCAAACCTTTTGAGGAACAAATTGCCTGACAGAAGTTCCATACAGGCAGAGATCGGTAGTGAGATACGTTTTGTGAATTTGGCCACCAATAACGACGCAAAGTTATCGGCCGGAAGCGAGGTCTGAAATCAAGCTAAGTTGGTCAAACACGGGCAAAAAAACCTCTGGCTAAACATTAAAATCTTAATTTGCCAAAATTGAAAACAACTACTGATCCACTGATTCACAACAATTACCTAATTGTAGCGGAAATAAGCAAAGAAAAAACTAATCAAAAATCCACTCACTGCCACTGTTATACGTTTAGGAGCACGATTACTGAGCATCAGAACTGTATTTACAGGATCATTGACACGAGTTCGCCAATCCAAAACGGCATCCTCGGGCTCGCTGGTGCCATTTACCTAGACGGAAACTCTTATACTTTTGGGTAAAGCGGAAGAATTACAAATAACTTCTACCTTGTGGAAAAACTCGTTGACATCTTTCTTTGCCTCTTTCTCTTGCTCTGAGCGTTCCAACGAGCTGTAGTCAAAGTTTTCATAAGCTGCATCAACGCGATCTGCAACTTAGGTATCATTGGACGTTTGTTCCACATTTCCATGGGCTAAAATTCACTACTGGCTGCTTCAGACTTCGCGATGATGCGCTACGCTTACAACAGCTCGCCTGCTGGTGCGTTCGTCGCGAAGTCTGAACACTGCCGTAGTGAATTTAGTTGAAATGTGGAACAAACGTCCAATGATACCTAAGTTGCAGATCGCGTTGATGCAGCTTATGAAAACTTTGACTACAGCTCGTTGGAACGCTCAGAGCAAGAGAAAGAGGCAAAGAAAGATGTCAACGAGTTTTTCCACAAGGT